CTACTCTTAGCAATGCCCTGGTAGGACAGGAAAGGCAGAAAACAATAAAGCTCTTCAGTCAAGAGGTTTTTCCACCTTTCAGTACTACTCAAAACTGAGAATCAGGGAATGACAGCCACCTCCATTTAGCAGGAATATCATTTGAATACTTACATTAGGCTTTTGGTTCTAAAAAAGGTTTGTAACACATTTTTATACTTCATGAAATGTGTTTGTTAAGAAAAGTAGCAAGATATTTTAAATTCCACAAAACTGACCAAAATTCCACAAAACTGACCGATTTTCATAACTTTTAAAACATCAGCAGCAAATATTATGATAGAAGGTAGCATGGTTTGGAAGCACGGCACTGAACTGAGATTCAGTCATCCTGGCTACCACTTTGGCTCTGCCACTTCCTCACTGCCTAACCTTGGGTAAAACTTCACCTCTGTCCCCCTGTTTAAAACTGGTCTATTTAAACTATAACCCAGTGATTCTCAGCCAGGGTGCCAAGTACCCTGGGGGTGCTTTGAGATCCTTTCAAGGGTACTGCAGGGTGCCACACAATGTTAGGTGTACAAATATGGTTTACAAGATAAATTCAAATGGTCTACAAGAGATTTCAAATAGGAATTCATAGTGACAAATGCATTCTGACAGGTGGTGGTCTTCTTGAGTTATTGGCAATAAAAGAATTGTTCTATTATTTCTCTGTACATAAGAACTGCTATTTACTGGGTCAGAACATATGTCCACCTTGCCTAGAGTGCTGTCACACAGTGGCAGAGGGTGGATGCTGAAAGGAAGAATGAATAGGGTACAACCAAGATTTTTTCCACTGTTCCTCTTACACATGCAGCCTCCAGAACTAAGGTCTAGGAAGATTTGATTCAGAGGCTGTATCCCCAACTCCCATGCTCAACTGTGACTGACATCCTTTTCCTCCAAGAATTTGTCCAATCCCTTTTTGAACCTGGTTACTGTTAGTTTCAGCAACTTCTTGTGGCAATGAGTTCCACACTTTAAGTACAAGCAGTGTGAAAAAGAAGTTCCTTTTGTTAGTTTTAACCTTACTACCTACTAGTTTCATTTTGTGACCCCCCTCGTCCTTGTATTGAGAGGAACAGTAAATAATGAATTCCTATGTACTTCAGCTTCACCATTTAGTATTTGGTAAACCCTTACCACATCCCTCCTCAAGCATCTCTTTTCTAAATTGAATAGGCCTGGCCTCTTTAGCCACTCCTCATATAGAAGCCCCTCCATACCACTAACCACCTTTGTTGCCCTTCTTAGTACCTTCTCTCCAATTCTTTTATATCCTTTGAAAAACTGGGCACAGTTTTCAAGGTGTGAGCACATCACTTTGAATTCATAAAGGGCACTATGATGCTTTCAATTTTGTTTACAATTCCCCACTCAAGCCCTAACATTTTGTTTGCCTTTTGGATGGCTGCTGAGCATTGAGCTGATGTTTTAGTGAACTGTCCACAATGACTCCCACATCTCTTTCCCATATGGTAACAATTAATTTAGAACTCAACATAGTATAGCTATAGTGGTTATATAGTATAGCTATTGGGTTATTTTTGCCTAGGTGCATCACTTTACACTTACCTACATTGAATCTCATCTGCCATTTAGTCGCCATTTGCTCAGTCATGCCAGATCCTTCTGTAGTTCCTCACAATCTGCCTTTGTCTTTACCATTTTGAATAATTTTGTGTCATCTACAAATTTGGCCACCTCACTATTCACACTTTCCCAGATCATTTATGAATATGTTGAACAGCACTGGTCCCAACACACATCCCTGGGGGACCCTGCTGGTTTGTTTTTTTTCCCCATTCCAAATACTGACCATCTATACTCACTTTTTGCTTTTTACCTTTAAGATAATTTCTAATCCATGAATGGACATTCCCTGTAATCCTATGGCTACCTATTTCTAATATGAGCTCCTTCAGGGCCTTAAGGGGAAAGGCCACCAGGTCCTCTTGATTTGCTACTACTTAGTTTATCAATTCCTCTATGATTTCATCTCATTTTGGGTCAGCTTCAGTAAAGGATGTTAAGAAGTGAAACTGAATTGAGTGAAAACTAAGAGCTGGCATTTTCCACGGGGTGGCTTGAGTGTAATAAGGAGGACCTTGAGTCTAACAAGGTTGAGAAACACTGTTGTAAACTCACTGGGGCAAAGACAGTCTTACAAATATTTGTACAGTGTCTAGTACAATGGGATACTAATCCTATTTGGCGCCATTTAAGCATTGCCTTAATAATAATTATTGCATGCAAACAATCATATTTGCAGAACATTGTGAAGGATCCAAACTCAAGCACACGAGTTAATTAATGCCAGAGATACCCCTTGCAATACTATGGTATCTTTAATTACATGATCACATTCTCCTGTTTCACAGAGCCCCCATGGGACTTTCAGGAATGCTTATAGAGCAGAGGCTTCAGCTCCTTTAAAAAAAAAAAAAAAAAAAAAAATCAAGGGATTCTCTACCATGCACATATGAACTGTAATTTTTGCCAGATACTTGTATATTTGGCAAAATTTGGGTAGGTGTTCATATGGGCAGCCAAAAGTACATCCTGGATATAAGAGCCACCCCCTGTCTGAGTTTAAGTCCCCAAAGTCCAAACATGAAAGCACCAGAGCTTGTCAAAACAAGGATCACCTGTTTATTTTATTAAAATATGGACAAAACTTGGGATTTTTTCTTGTCTTGTTTTTGGAAGCAGAGTGTTTTGTCTGAAAATAAATAAATGATTTAGCCTGAGGCAGATGTCTAGCATATATTATTTCAGCTCAAATAGATCCTGGCAAAATTATAGCAAGAAGCATCAGGCTACATAAATAACCTGACCGATAGTAAGATAGAGCACTACTACAGGTCAAGTCTTCCCAACCAATTTCAGACAACACCAGTGTTCATGACCTGACAGGAAGCTGAAAAGATCTCAGTTATAATGGTCTTGCACTATGTACATCTACAGAAATCTGTGTTAGCAGATTTTTTTTTCAATCTAGTAGTTCAATTCGTTCAGGGGCAACTAGCTACAAACAGGACACCAGGGAGTAGAGGATCAGAGGTACTGGGTCTACAGGGTTCTTAGGGTACTAGAATTCTTACACTATTTCATCAGGAGAAAATGTTCTCATGCTCTTTCGCTGCATCTCTCTCTAGTAGTAACAGGTGACAAATGCTGCCAATACATGTAGGCCACAGGCATCTCTTGCACACCTGCTGGTGTCCTGGTGACTAGGCCAACTAGTGCATTGCAGCTTTTCATATGCTTCTTCTTCCAGTTGAACTCCCTTATCTGTTAGTGCTCAGTGACTTCGTCTGGGCCCCAGTGGAAATCAAACACTAACCCCATGAATTCCAGCTTTTGGATTGTGAGGATATATATCTCAGTCAGGGAAAGGACCTTAAATAAGAAAGTGGCATCTTATACACACTTTAAGGGGCTTAAGCACATCCTGCACATAATATTCCAGTGATTTAGAACTCCAAATTCTCCTCATTAATAATGCTTTCGTAAATTATTAGTTGTCCCTCATTCTTATGCTGTGGGATTTATGCAATAATGTAGTTATAATTTCTTTCTTAACCTGTTAAAATCCATCTGAAAAACAGGAACCAACAAAACATTCAAAATCCTTCTTCTGCTCCCCACATTTAACCTACTTTTCCATCAAATTTACCTAGAAACATCTGCAAAGACAGTTATACAGCCAGAAGTGAGGTTTTTAATTAGCAGGACTTGTGTTTTGTGTTAGCCAAGACACACCATTTTATATCAGGGTACATACTGTTTATGTCTCCCCAGTGCCAGTCCTAGCAGTCTAGTAAATACTACTTAAGTAGCACATTTATTATACCTTCAGCTTCCATAAGCCTTTCATTTAAACCTTTATGTTTTGTTTTTTTAAAAAGCCCTTTCTAGTAAGGAAGACACCAACTTCAAAATGATCCTACAGAATCAGTACAGATAACAGCTGCTGGGCATTAAAGGCAGCTGCAGGAAAAAAGCTGTGAAGTGAACATGAAATAGCTGAAAAATATCTTCATTAAAACAATTTTCTTCAGGGTAGGAGCAAAGAAATAATCTTCTAACAATATTTTATTTTTTAAGTCTATGGCACAAAAATAGCCAACAACCCCTATATCTTTATGGTTTTAACACAAACAGTATTTCAAAAGCATAGGTCTACCTGCCTCCCCTCATTTCTTAATGCTCATGCAGAACATTAAGCAATAAAGTGTTCTAACCCTAAGTAAAGAAGAGTTTAATTGTGTTAAGTGTTCAGCTTCCTCCACTGGCTCATTAAACATACCTAAATTATTGAGCATTATTTTAACCCCAAGCACAGGGCTAGTTTGCAAATACCTACCCTACCTAAATGCTGCGAATGAACTTCACTTACCTTCCTTTACTGTTTCAGGGCAGTAGTTACTCTTACCCCATAAGTCTTTTTGTGCAAAATGAAAAGCAGATGGTTGCAATTCAGAGGAACAAGAAAAAGCATCTTAATGTAGCCCACAGTATTGTAATGGCTACAGCTGAGTAGGAGCATGGAAACCTACCTAGAAGCCAGTGAGACGACATTTTACCAAACTATGCTCCTATCAGGAGAGGTGGGTGGGTTATGCTATCTTTAAATTTGGCTGGAGCTCATCACATGTAAGTTGTTCCTACAGCAGCAACATATATGAAAGTCATTTCCCCTAGCAGTGACTGACCTGATAATACCAATGGCTGATGAATTGATTGCAGCTCTGATTATAGACAATGGCTCAGGTATGTGCAAGGCTGGTTTTGCTGGAGATGATATTCCCCGTGCTGTATTTCCCTCCATTGTGGGACACCCCAGGCACCAAGGTGTTTTGGTGGGGGTGGGCCAGAAAGATAGCTATGTTGGAAATGAAGCCCAGAGCAAACAGGGTATTCTTACCCTGAACTACCCCATTGAGCATGGTATCATCACTAACTGGGATGACATGGAAAAGATTTGGCACCACACCTTCTACAACGAGCTGCGGGTGGCTCCTGAGGAGCACCCAGTGTTGCTCAGTGAAGCCCCCCTCAACCCTAAAGCCAACCGAGAGATGATGACTCAGCTCATGTTTGAGACCTTCAGTGTGCCAGCCACATATGTTGCCATTCAAGCTGTGTTATCCCTTTATGCTTCTGGCCGTACTACAGGCACTGTGATAGACTCTGGAGATGGGGTTACCCATACAGTACCCATCTTTGAGGGCTATGCCATGCCCCATGCTATCCTTCGGATGAACCTTGCTGGCCGGGATTTAACTGACTATCTCATGAAAATCCTGACTGAGAGGGGCTACAGCTTCATCACTACAGCTGAGCAAGAGATTGTGCGTGATATCAAGGAGAAGTTGTGCTATGTTGCCCTGGACTTTAACCAGGAAATGTCCACCACTGCTGTCTCCACTTCACTGGAAAAAAGCTATGAACTACCTGATGGACAAGTGATTACCCTAGGCAATGAGCGGTTCAGATGCCCTGAGGCCCTCTTCCAGCCATCTTTCCTGGGTGTAGAGTCCTGTGGAATCCATGAGACCAACTTCAACTCTGTTATGAAGTGTGATGCGGACATCCAAAAAGACTTGTATGCCAACACTGTGTTGTCTGGAGGCACCACCATGTACCCAGGCATTATTGACCGGATGTACAGGGAGATTGTTACCTTGGCACCAAGAACCATGACAATCAAGATCATTGCCCCTCCAGAACGTAAATATTCTGTCTGGGTTGGTGGCTCTACCCTGGCCTCTCTTTCCACTTTCCAACAGATGTGGATTAGCAAACTGGAGTATGATGAATCTGGGCCATGTGTTGTTCACCGCAAGTGCTTCTAGTGGGACTTTCCAGCAGATTATTGCTGGAAAATGAATCTACTGCATAACCGTTTAATACTTCCTTGATGGAGACAGTAGGAGACCTGTAGCCAGACTCCTTACCTTTCCTATTGTGTAGTGACTGTGTTCCCACACCAGAGACAAGGAAGAATCTCCTTTGACAAGATTAGATGGATGATGACGAGAACTCTGTAATTCAAAGTGTCCAGTCCTGGGTGAAAAGTAATACCTACTGAGTACGACAAGTAAAATAAGCCTTGGTCACCTAGCATGCTAATTGCTCTCACTTTGTACTGGAACATTGGCTTTTGAGGTTGACAGATACCTAGTATCTTGCTTATCTGAAGCTGATGCCATAGACTTCATGAAAAATTGGTCATGGACCTGGTAAATTTCCTTCAAGCTGTCTACTGGACGGTGTGAAAGGGAATACTTAAAACTCACTTCCCTTAGTCCCTAAATGCCAATGTAAACTAAGTCTCTAGAAAATTTAATTCCCTTGCGGTCTCTCACTTGTAATAAAAACGCTCAACTCGGCTGCTGAGAAATGTGGGGTTTTTTTAATAAGCATGCTAGCATTTTGGTCAGACTGCAAAGACCAGTTATTCCCCTGTTGCTAGTGTATGTGGAAGCCAATCTCTTTAAGGCTACAAGGTTTGTTTCATCTTGATGAGCTAGTAATATAACAGATCATGAATTTCGTATAGTTTGGGGGGAAGGGTTTGTTTTGTTTTGGGGGGGGGGGGGGG